GAAAGTGAGACAAAGAAGCGAGACAGTGTGGTGATACTCGAAGCAGCAGCGTGGTGAGAGCCTCTCTAGATAGTCGGCTTTCCTAGTGTTGAAACACCGACCCAGACTAACTGCATAAACATGCAGCTGTCATCAGCACCTGTGACACATGCTTTGTGATCCTGGAAGGCAGCAAGCAAAGCGTTTGAAAAAGTTGGATACAGTCTAAGAAGAAACCAAGTCAGGGAGCTATGGGAAGGCGACCAACTGATCTCTCTCATATTGATGTTTCTCTCTCACTGTCTTTCCCGCTCTCTAAAATCAATAAGCATGTCCTCCGGTGAGGCCTAAAAAAATGATAATAAAAATATAGCTCTGACCTATGATCACTCGTGATCTACTCAATGTGAAAAGGTCTCAAAAAGCTAAGGTTGACAGGGAAGCAAAGGTGCAGAATGAAACCTTTCATGAACGTTGGCAATTTATTTTCAGAGAACAATTCTAATAATGATCATCCATCAACAAATCTGTTTAGATAAGAAAGAGAAACATTAAATAATGCATGCTGATGGTTGCCTCTGGGAAGAAGGAACGGGAAACAGGATGCTGGTGGGGAAGGCTATCAGGGGAAGCTCAAACAAAGACTTGGCGGGGAATCGAACCTGCAACCTTTTGGTGTACAGGACGATGCTCTGACCAAGTGAGCCACCCGACCAGGGCCCAGAGTTATCCTTTTTAGCTGCTTATATTTTTCCATTGCATTATCCTATTGATTTATTTATCCATCCCCCTGTTGAAAGACGTTTGGATCTACTTGGTAATAGCTTTTTTGCAAGTACAAACAATACTGTAATGAACATTGTTGAACCCTGCGCACATGTCTCAGAGAAGCAGGACTGCTGGGTCAGGCACACTCTCCCTGCTCCCATAGGCCCTGGTCCAGGTTTGCACCAAAACACACTCTATACTCACTTGGGCCTTCAGCAGATAGGCCACCTTGCCAGGTTCTCGGTGGCTTTAGTTGAGTGAGAGGAGAAATGTTCAGGAACCCTGGGAAGGAGTAAGCTGATACTGCTGTTTGCCATATTGATAGCAGTTTCTCTGGCTCTTAAAGGACAGCCTGGCTCGCAGAGTCCCAGAGGACCTTGGCTGAATTTGAGCTTGTTTTTGTTTTCTCAAACTGTCTGCCTTCGCCCTGACCCTCACCGGGTCCTTGGGATTCCAGGAATGACCCTGGTGTTTTTAGAGCAGCCCTTAGGGAGCGCACAGGCAGGGGGGCCCTGCAGAGGCCACGCTGTTTCTGCGCTCTCAGGAGATGGCGACATGAGGGCACTCTCCAGCAGTCTCCATGGTGCCGGGCCGAGAAAGGCTCCTCCCTGTGACCCGAGCGCACACGTGTCTGCTTGTGAACCCGCGGGCGAGTGGAACGCGCTTGCTCGACTGTGTCTTTGCCAAGTGTGTATGTGAGGCCATATCTCTGGAAAAGAAGAGCATCTTTCTTCCATCACCAAGAAGTTCTTCCAGAAACAGAGACAGGAGAGAGAATCGCAAAGGATGGAGCCCTGGAAATGCCAGAGCTTGAAAGGGGTTAAAAATACAGGCTCTTTGACTTTTGTCCAGGCTGCTGCCTTTGAAATTCTGGGGCTGGAGTCCAGGACTCTGTTTTTAGATGGATCTTCAGTTGATTTCTGATGAACAGCTATGTTTGGGAACCAGTCATCTAGCCCAACTCCCTGAATTTGCAGATGAGCACACGGAAGCCAACACATTTTAAACACCTTGCTGGCATCTCAGAGCCCAGGCATGGCAATCACGTCAGGATCAGAACCGTGGGCCTCCAGGCCAGTGCTGTTCTTCTTACCATACTAGTGGCCACATGCTAGAGAGAGTGAGGTGACCACAATCATACGTCCAAAGGGACTGGCTTCAAATTCTCGCCAACAAAAGCTGTTTCCCCTGAGTACTGGTGAGTTTACCTTTGAGCCCTGCCTCACCAGTGCATGCCTGGCAGCTGTGAACCACCACTTGTCTCCCTCCCTCCCCGTCTGTGTTCCTTCCTTCCCCAAATTCTGTGAACAAAGTTAATTTAGGCAAATCCATACTTGCCCAAGGACTTCCATCAAATGGTAGAGAGCTTTGATGTTTAGCAACATATAGAATTTATGTAAACAACAAAATCCAGGTTTAGAAGAAATAAGCAATGGGCAGTATTGCAAAACTCTCTTATAACTTTCCCCCCATGCCTTTGGCGATTTTACAGAGCAGATACCACCCACCCTTCCCTCTATCAGATATATCTTTCCTTTGCCCATTCAAGAAATAGCATATTTCTTCTAAAGCTAGTTTCTCTCGCATTGGGAATTTGAGTGATAATCATACTGTATTCTATTTAATGCGCAGCCTTCATTTTATTTAGGATTATTATTTTCATTTTTCGGACTTGAGAAATTAAAACTCAGAAAAGTTAAAGACTTTGGCCAAAATTATGTTGGGTCATAAGTGGCGAAGCCAGGACTGGAATTCTGGGCTCTTGACTCCCAGAGTTCTTTGTCCATTTGGGTTAGTTAATGAATTGTCCACTGCCATGGACATTAATAAAGAAGTTGTTCAGGAGGGAGGAAGAAGATGATAGTATTTATTAATTTTTTCAACAAAGAAGGATAGGACAGGAAGGCAGCCAGCATCCTCCTGGCCAGTTGGCTGGAATCCATTGGTGAAGGGCTATTACCTGTTGAGGGAGATAAATCCATTGGAGGGAATGGTAGGTAGATTCCTGGTTGCATTAGATCATCTCTATGGGGCCTTTAGCTCTTAGATTTTTAAGTAACCATGAGACAAGCTAAAGAGAAGTGAGGCAAAGGACTGGGGCTTTTTCAGAAGAAAGAAAAGAAGAAAGGAGACACATTAGCCTGTTGTGAAGATGTGTGATGGTTCTGGAGAAAGGTCTCCTTTTCCCACCAGGCCTCACACTTGAAGCAGGAAGGAAGAGGGAGTTGCTTTTAGATCCCAAGGTCTCCCATAGATCAGGAGTCGCCAACTGTCCAATGGAGCACTGAGGTCAGAGCGTTGCACTGGGAGAAAGTGGGTTTCATGAGTGCAGGGATCTGCAGGTCACCAGGTTTTCAGTTTTCATTCACTGAGTGAGGTTGTCGGCACTACAATCTATGCCAGAATGAAGTTATAAAACCAGGGTATGAGTGAGTAGAGGTAGGCAGAGCCCTTTCTCCTGGAGTGTCAGCTCCCAGCTGCCCTCCTCGGCTAGCTTAGTGAGGCTGGGCCACAGGACAGTGTGGGGACCCCATGCCCTCTGTGAGGCCCCTCAGATGATGGCAGAGAGGTTGTGAATGCCCCTGTAGACCCAGATGGTCATCCTGGGTGTGCTTTCTGTAACATGGGACAGCTTGCCTGTCTCCTCTCATTCCGCTGGCCTTTCTCATCTCATCTCTCCTCTAGGCGCCTAAGGTGGAAAGGTGTGGCAATACACCTGAAGCAAGGTGGGACTTCTGGCTCTCCCAGCCCTCCCCAAATGGACTGGGACTCTGCTCTGCCTCTGATGTCTCTGGAGAAGCTTTGTCTTCTGTATATAATTAGGAAACTCCCTGTTTCAGCGTCGACCCGTTTTCTGGGTCTCTGTAGAGAACAGCTAAATCTTACTAGTCCTCAGGGGACAATCTCTGCACAGGCCTTGGAGGTCCCTGTCCATCATCTCCAAGCCCAAAGGAAACCTTTTCCAGCTATGTGCTTTGGCTAGCTAAGAACTATTTCTTGGAGTAACCTCTGCACTGTAGCCCACAGAGTCGCATACATGAGTAGTTGCTTAATAAATATTATTCTGAACCTAACTCTCTTAGGCAGAAAAAATGCAACTTGGTATTTTTGTTTTGAGGGCAAATTCCATCTCTAGCTGGAGTCCTGCATCTGGAATGTTTTCCTGAGGACGACATCTGCCACCTATGAGCGTGCAGGGGAAGAACTTGGTAATGGGTGGTACTGGCCTTGTCTGACTGAGCCTGGGAGGCCGTGTGGGTACCCCCTCCCTCGAGTGCACTGTAAATGCACGCAGCATCTCTCAGAATCCTCCTGGCCACCCACCAGAGGTGGCTGCTGTTTGTCTGCATTTTATAGATGAGCAACAGAGGCACAGAGAGCTTAAGCAACTTACCTAGGGCTGCACAGCTATGTGGTGAAGCTGGGATTCAGTCAGGCGATTAGACTTGGGAGTCTAAATTCTTGAACCTCTTTGGCTGGTGATAGGAACAGTCCAGGAGCCGAGGCTTTGCCCAGCCCACAGTCTGTTCTGGTCTCCACCCAGTCGATTATTTCATTCCCCTTCCTGGGGCTTTTCTTCAAGATGTGGAATGTCAGCATGTGCGTCAGCAAACTGGGCCTGAGGATTTCCTCATCTGATTGGTATGTTCGTTGGCAGTGATGAGATCAATGAAGGAATGGGAGCGTATCTTCGAACCCAGGTGGCCTCTGTGCGGGTGGACAAACTGACCTTCACCTCAGAGACCTCAGCGAGGTGGGGGGCATCTCGGGACATGAAGCCAGCTCCTCCTGGGAGAAGCCTGCCGGAGTGACCCCCATCTTTTGGTCCCTGGATCAGAGCTTCCTTAATGACTTTTGTGGGACTTAGACATTTTGCCTTTGTGGGCCCTTCTTCCATAAGAAATAATCTAAAATCTATTTTATAACTGTGTCTTATAACAGCGAGGGTGTCAGTGTTGTATGTTAAGACATTTTCTTGAACCTAATGTTCCTTGGACAAGTGTCTGGATGCGATAAGATAAAACTTCAGAGTTGAGCAGGTCATTGTTCCTGTTCCTGGGCTCTCAAGAAGCCCTGTAATGGGGAACAAATCAGGGTACAGGGGTACTCCTGCAGCGGCTTTAGGGGACCTCCAGGAGGGGCAGGCCAGCAAAGGGGGAGTCGCAGCAGGGGGTGTTAGAAACTGTAGGTCTGATGGCAGGGGCTCCACCTGAATGTTTTAAATTTTCACCCAATCCACGCCCTTTCAGACCATGAGTGATGAATCTCTTCAACTGCGGGTTAGCAACAGGTGACTCTGGGAGGTCTTTCTAGGGGAAAATGATGGGCCCAGCCAGCAGGGACTAACCGCCTTCCACGGTGAGGCCTTGAAGAGGCGTCATCCTCTGTGCTCCTTTGCTCTGCTCCCGCCTCCTAGAGCGGAGCGGCTGTCCTAGGCATTCAGAGGAGGCTGCTAATAGGAGTTGCCGTGAAACCGAGATTGATCACCCATGTAAATCGCGCAACACAATTGCTTAGATGTTAGCATCTTTGTCTTCCTTACCGGCCCTGGAGGGCCCATCTCTCTCTGGAACTCCTTTGCTTCCTCTCTGCAGATGACAACCACTCTGAGGTTGAAGACGGGACCATCGTGGGAGGTGGAGGCAGTGCCGGCCGGAAGGCCTTCACGTCGGGCATGAAGGAGATGGCTGTGCTACGGGAGAAGGCCAATGACCAGCACCGCCAGATGGGCAAGGGCAGCAAGCATCTGCCAGGCCCGGAGGACGCCAAGAAACTTCGGCCCCCATCTCCCAGGGTCAGAGGGACCGGGTCTAGTTGGAGGGGTGGGAGGACATGCAGAGGGAGTCCCACAGTGGGGCGGGCACCCCAATAAGACCCATGTTCTGTGTTGCCTGCAGGCAAAGCACTTTCCAGTTCTGCCTTTAACATATTCAGTGACTTGGAGGCTAACTAGCCAATCAGCATCTCTTTTGAGGGGCCTCAGTATCTTTGGCTGTGAAATGGACTGGTCATATGGTTTCTTGAGATCCCTTCCTTCTGAAACCTCCACATTTCTGCTTGGCTTTGGAACATAGGCCAAGACCATGGATGCTAGAGATGGAGATGGAGCCACCTGAACTTGCTCGCTGGTGTAGCGATGTGCTCCCCTCACTTGGCTTCCCCTCTCCCTCTTTGCAGCCCAGCTCTGCCGTCTTGAGTCTTGGCCCCAGTTGGTTTATGGAAAGGAATGGAGATTGGGCACTGGGCTAGGGTAGAGCTATCCAGAGACAACCACTTGAATTCAGTATTTGCAAGTAGATTCTATCTTGAGCCCTGAAAGCCATTGACACAGATGGAGGAGAGTAATGAAAACTCACAGCCACACGACTTTCTTTTAGGAATGGGTGGAGCACACAATATGGTAGTGAGCTCACTGTTCTGAGGCTCAGAAGTCCCTCCTTCCACCAACTACCTGTGTGGCCTTGTAGAAGTCCCTCCCTATCCGTGAGCTTCTCCCTGGGGTTGCTCCGAGGGCCATTCTCTAAGCATACTCTATGCCTGTCTGTGCCCTCAGACACCCTGCCAGCAGGAATTGGACCACGTCCTGGAGCGGATCTCCACCATGCGCCTTCCAGATGAGCGGGGCCCTCTGGAGCACCTCTATTCCTTGCACATCCCCAACTGTGACAAGAACGGCCTATACAACCTCAAACAGGTGAGAGAGGTTCTGGTGCACCTTGTTCTTGCCCCACACACCTGTAGCCCTTTGAGGTCTCAGAGCTGAGCACCAGGGAGCTAGGCTTCCCTCCCTGGCCCCGAGCCTGGCAGAGGCTGATTCCAGTGACCCAGGTACCCGCCAGTAGGCTTGGTGTCTGGGTTGGGAGGGAGCCTCTTAGAGAAGAGATGTGGGCTTACACCAATATTTTAAGTGGTGTTTCTCCATCCCTGAGATCCTTAAAATGGCAATAGAACAGCATCATAAGTACATTAGAGAACATCAGGGAAATGTAAGTAAACCACTGGAAACCCTCTCCCTGCCCTTCCACTCTGTTCAAGTGCCTTCTCATCATCAATGTACACAGTATACCGGACCCCCACTGGCCGGGACCTCCCTGCCGCTGGGGGCTGAGTCTTTTCCCCCTTGGGCGTCCTCAACAGCCTTGCACATCAGAGCGTGGCCTCTGGGCCAGCAGCTTCAGTGTTTGCTATGTCCAATGTGAGGCTCAGCCCTGACCCACTGAACAGGAATCTGCATTTTACAAGATCCCCTGGCGTGCATTTAAGGTTGAGAAGCACCACCCTGCAGCCCTGGCTCAAGGCTGCAGGGTGACTCAAAAGCTGGCAGCTGCAGAGGTGTCCTCCACGGCCCCCTCTTCTCTCTCTTCAGTGCAAGATGGCTGTGAATGGGCAGCGTGGGGAGTGCTGGTGTGTGAACCCCAACACCGGGAAGCTGCTTCAGGGATCCCCTACAGTCCGTGGGGACCCAGAGTGTCATCGCTACTACAACGAGCGGATGCAGTAAACCATAGCCAGCCGGCGCCTGGCACCCCCACCACCTCTCCAAACCCAGGCAGAGAGAGGAGAGTGCTTGGGTGGTGGGTGGGGAGGATTCCCCAGGAGGTTTGACACATGTATTTATATTTGGAAAGAGACCAGCACTGAGCTCGGCACACCCACCGCCTTGCCCCTCCGAGTAGGAGAGGCTGCACCCCCTTCTTGAGTCCCTGCTGGGAGGAAGGGGTGCGTGCAGAGGCAGAGTTGGGGTCCCGGTTTGGGAGGGGGAAAAAGAAATTTTTATTTTTGAACCCCTGTGTCTCTTTTGCTTAAGAATAAAGAAAGGAAAAAGAAAGTGTGTGTCTTTTGCCTGAGTCTTTGGGGCCCCCTTGACTCCTGGGGAAGCAGGAAAGGCACAGCCTTGGTTTCCCATCATGAAACAGGAAGGAGAAGGGTGGGGCAGGAAGGCAGATCTCCTCCTTCCAAGGGCCTTGCCTGTGGGAACTCAGGTCTCCAATCCAGGTAGGACCCTCTCTTGAAATCCCAGGACCCCGTGTGTTCTGCCTGGGCCCCCAGCTGAGGCCCTGGCCTCCATACCCCCAGGGTGGGCACTCGGGGAGAAGAGTGGAGCAAGTGTTTGTCTTCCCTCACCCACATTCAGGTGATATCCAAAGGGAGAAACACTAAGGAGAGCTTCCTTTCGTGCAGGGAGATGTCCGTTCAGCGCCCAAGGACAGGGAGTGGGCTGCTGTGGGCCAGTGTACTCACAGAGGTGCTGCCTCCGAATCCAGGCCCAGCTCTCTGGGGGCCTAAGTCACTGGACCCAGAACAGCAAATAGTAAAGGGACTAGAAGAGTGAGGTACAAATGTGTGCCCCATTTCTGGAGCAGAATTCCGCGCAAGAGCCCTCCCCACTTTGTTCTGTTGGGCCCTCGACCCCTGGTGAATTGCAGGGGCTCCCGACTTTGCAGTGGGCCACGAGGGAAGGAAGGCCCACTGTCCACCCCTCTTCCCTCCCCCCACACAGTGTAGACCCCCACCTTTCATGTTACCCGCTCTTCTGGGTCAGGAGTCTGAATCCTTCCTGCTATAGGAGGCGCTGGGAGGCCCAGCAGAGGCAGAGGACACCTGGGCCCTTACCTGGGTGAGATGAGCTTCTCTTCTGAGAGCAGAAAAAAACCAGGTCCCCCAAAGCAGACAGATCCCACCCACCTTTGGTCTCTGAGCTAGTGGCTCTCGCTCGTGAAGTACGTTAATTCAGTTAATCTTCACGAATCCACACGTGAGGCGCTATTACTAGCTCCACTTTACAGATGAAGAAAAGGTCCCTAGTGGTCCTCAACCTCCAGCCCGAGGCCTGGAAGCCCCTAACTCCCGAGCGTGGATGCTGCTCAGCCTGGGGCTATACCGCCCCCTGTGGGATGGTTGGAGAGAGCCTGCAGTGCTTTGGGCCCCGGGTTGGATCTTGGGGTCTGATTTTCTTTCATTTGCTGCCGGGTGCTCTGCCACCCGTCTCCCTACCCCGCAGCCATAGCCCGCAGCTCCCGGCTGCTGTCCGGGGTTGGGCAGCCCCTGCTGGCTCTCCAGGGAAGTGCGTGCTTAATCTTGGCTAAAATTTGAATGATTGAGGGAGCTTAAAAAAGTTATGCCCGCGCCTCACCATCAAAGATTCTGATCTGATTGGTCTGGAGTGGAGCCCAGGAAGGTGTTTTGTTGTTTTACGGCTCCCCAGGTGATTCTAGTGCCAGGGATGAGGCAAGAAGAACGCTGGAGTCAGAACACCTGGGGTTGAATAGTCTCATTGCTTATGCCACTGCTCTAGAGCTACGGCACTTGCCTTCTCTGAGCCTCAGTTTTCTCCATCTGTCTAAGGGGGATGATTTCAGCCTCAAATGACAGGGTGATATCAATGTGAGATGGCGGATGTGAACATGCTTTGGAAACTTTAGAACCGTATAAAATGGGAGGGATTATCATGGGTTTATTGCTGGGGTCAGCTCTCATGCCAGCCCACAGGCCCCATGGTTGCCAGCTTGCTTGGGTCATTTCTGGAACATTTTTGTAGAATGTTTGAGGATGCCACAATCTCCCTGTCCAGTTCCATGTCACTTGCCCGCAGTCGCCTTGTGTGTGCTCTAAACCCTCTGAAGAGGTGGATTTTGTGGCAGCAGTGGTGAGCAGCACCCCCGCTGTGCGCTCTAGCTGCAGGAACCACACTGATGTATAAATGACCTGGAAACCTTTGCTGAACGAAGGCATCATTGTACCCATGCAGGAAGATGGTTGGCTGGGCAGGAATCTTGGAGATGTCAAGCTATTGCTCACCTTCCAGAACAAACGACTGTGCTTGTTCAAGTTTAAAAACCTGGCAGAGACACGCTGGGGTTGTACTGCCACTGTGTGGCAGCACAGGGAACTGCAGCTGAGTTCACAGGGCCTCCAAGTCTGTTTCCAGAGGTGGTCCCAGGAGTCCAGGATGAGTGAACTGGAAAAGCTTGTTACACTTGGGGAATCACAGGACCTATCCCAGAGCTAGAGCCTTAGGAAGGGACCTGGCAGTATGCATTAAAACATGCCTCCTGGGTGTCTATAAAATTGTAGAATCGCCTGATTTCTAGGTGACCTAATTTGTAGTACTCAGGGTAAAATGAAAATGCAGGGCTCCTCGTTCAGAAATTATTAAGAATTTCAAGAGAGCAACAGAAGAGCATTAAACCAAGCGCAGGGCCCCGTGTGACTGCACAGGTTGTGTACCCACAAAGCGGGCCCTGTGCTTGTGCCTCTGAATTTGGAGAATCCCCCGTGCCGTGACCACATCTGCCAGATGTGTCTTGAATATTAGCTGTATGTGATGTGGTAGTTGAGAGCATAGGCTTGGAGAGGAGGCAGTCTTTGAACAGGATTTTGGCTCTATTACTTATGGCTTATGTGACTTTGGACACCTTTCTGACCTCTGAGCTGCATTTATTTCATCTTTAAGTGAGGTGTGAGATACCGTGATAAGAGAGGCAAAGCACCTGAGCTTACAGGGTGAGCTCAATTTGGGCATGGATTTGAAGCTTGGGGTTCTGTGGTAGTGTCAGCTCAGGAAGGTGGGACTTTCTCCATCAGGGCTCAGCAGGGCTGTGCAGGAGTGACAAAGCTGGCCGGTGAGGTTTATCCAGGGCAGGTGAGACCCGGACAAGTAGACGCTGTCAGTGGAACCATGGTCTTCAGGCTCCTCAGGGAAGGAAGCAGGTGCACAGCGGGTTGGTGGGTCAAAAAACAGAATGGGAAGCCCAAGGACTCCACTGTCCCTTAAGTAAAATGCTAAGGGTGCTGCCCCCTGCTGCCCCATTCCTCTTGCTGTAATACACTGTCATTGGAGTGGGAGAGTGGGCTTTTCAGGTTTTCCACGTGGAACCCTTAGGTGTTCAGAGTGTGGCTTCAGTGGGTGGAGGGGAGGCCCGGTAGAGTTAAGGAGTGTAAGAGGACCATGTTTCTGAAAGTGCTCTATTCCAGACGCGAGACTCCAGCCCAGTCTCACTGGATCACAAGGCCCCAGGTGAAGGTGTGATCACTAAGGTGCTCTGTGGGTTGTCCAGGATAGGAGTGGGACAAGGGGGGAGCAGCTGGGAGCCAGGATCCTGGGAGTTCCTAGACGAGGGTTGTAAGGGGAGGGAGGAGACCCAGGGGAGTAGAGGAGCATGGGTGGGGGCCCCGGGAGATAAGTCCCGAAGGAGGAGCAACAGTTGAAGAAGAGTCTTGCTCATGCCCCCTTCAGGCAGAACGTGGGTGACAGCAGGTGAGCAGCTGCTGGTGGAGAGGCCAGGATACAGTCCCAGGGCAGGTGGTGTCACCGGGGTGACCCAGTCCAGCATGGCCTTCCTGCAAATCACTCTGCCTGCCCCCCCACATCAACACCCCTGCAAAGGAGACTGGGCAAGGCACCCGGCCCCTCTCTGTGCCTCCTGCCCAGCTCTTGCCAACCCCCCCCCCTTTGCCTTCACTGCTGAGCCTTGCTGGTGACCACACATTTGCAAAGCTGTGCTTGGGTAGAGGGGCCTCAGGGAAGAGTTTCAGGGATACAGCAACCATTGGAAGGAGTGTGCCCAATGAGCGCAACGCCCCAGTTAGTCCACTTGACATGTGACTCAGAGGAGCAGGGCACAGGGTTGGGCTGGGGAGAGTGGAGGTGCCACTGATTTTGTCTCCCTCCTGTGCCCATGGATGGGAGGCCCTTGTCCGGAGCGGTCAGGGAGACCCATGAAGCACAGTGTGCTGCTGGGGGCTCCACAAAGGAAGAGGGGACATGGGGGTTGGGAGAAGAGCCCAGAAGAGAAGGGGTGCAGGAGGAACCACATCAGGGTGACTGAGGCAGCAAGGACAAGGTAGGAACTATGCTCTTTAAGGCCCTGAAAGGCTGAAATCAGCCACTTCACAGCTCCCCTCTTCACTGGGCAGAAACAGCAGTGGGCTGGGTAGGAGACGGAGGCAGGATTTGCCTCGACCAGAGGTTCCCAGGAGTAAGGGACCGAGGAACATTCTAGAAATGCCTTCCTTAAAATCCTCTCCAAAGAGAAGAGACGTGTCATTTGCTTAAAGATAGATTAAGGCCACTTTATTTAATAGCGGCTGAGATTAAACGGTAAGCATGTAATAGTAGTAACAGTAGCGGAACACACGTCGACTGCTCTGCTCTGACCGCGTGGAGCACACGAGCTCATTGGGACAGTTTCGGAGGGTGGAGGGGGGCACTGGAGCTCTGGATGGGAGGGCGGGTCCGGGGTCCCCTGGGTCCTGCCTCCGCCTGGTCCTCTGTCCTTCCCTCTGGAGTGTGGCCGAGGAGAGTCCTGGGACCCGGAGGAAGCTGACGCAGGCTAACTGAATGCATAACTTTATTAAATAAATGCTTCGTCATGACAAACGACAAAGATCGAGGAGTAACATAAATTATACGTTGAATAAATAGCATACAGCAATCTTCACCTTTTTAATAAAACGTGAGATCTCCGTTTTGTTTGTTTTTGTTTCGTTTTTATTTCCTTAGGTACAAAATGCTAACAGGAGGCGAGTTCTTCCGCATTCAGGTGAACTTTTTTTCTCCGCGTTTTTATTTTTCTCACCACAAACTGGTTTTGTCTGTTGGTTTGTTTATCCATTCTTTTCACCAGTAACGATTATGAGCATTTATTTTCTTAACAAAAAAAGTTGAAAACAAAAAGAAGAGAAAACAGAGCTATGGTATGTATGTATGTACGTATGTAAAACTATCGAGAACTACAGTAATATGTGCTGTGGTTATTGCTGTCTTAAAAAAAAAGAAAACCGAAAACCCAAACCGGTAGGCAACTCGGAATCTGAAGGATCTTGTCTGACAACTGTCTATCCGTGTGGGCTACTGTGTGGTGGTGCTGGTGGCGGCAGGTGGGACTCAGGCTGGTGTCTGGGGACCGGAGAAATGGGGCGAGTGGGCCGGGGCGGCTGGCCCTCCCACCTCCCGTGCCCCATCCAGAAGGAGTTGGAGAGAGGAGGCCAGAGTGTGTGGAGACGGCTAAACTACATACTCCATTAGAAAACCAAGAAAGGGTGTTTCAGAAAAGACACAAAAACCTAAGAGAAGAAAAAGTGGAGAAAAGTGCAAAGTATGTCTTGCACTTTAGTGGTTTCAAAAATAAAGACAGTACAACGCCCAGGTTGCTGGCAGGTCAAACCCCGTTCCCTTGTCCCACCACTTCTTAAAACGTAGCTTCCTTTCTCTTGGAAGCCAAAAAATGTCCTCTCCGAAACCAGAGGGTTGTTGCTTCTCCTTGGCCCACTCCTCTCTGAATTCCCAGTCTGAGCTGGAGCCCTCCGGGGGGGCTGAGCAGATGGAGAGGGACAACACCGCCCCCCTCTAAAGGGGGCTTGGTGGTTGTCATGGCAGCTCGGTGGCTGCTAGAGAGTTAGGTGGGGGGAGAAGGGAGGTTGAGGCCCGTCTCTCCCAGACCCCAGAGGAGGCTGACCCTGCAGGGTTACAGTGGAGACCACCAAAGTGGGGATGGGGACATGGGTGAGGGGAGAGGAGGTGGGACCCCGCAGGGCCTCCTGGGCTCCCTTCCTCCCCCGGTGAGGGCTGAGTGTCTCCAGGCCTGCCTGTTCAGGCCTGGCTGTCTGAGAAACTTTCAAGTCTCTAACCCCCCAGATGCCCTGCCTTGCCAGGGTGGGTAGGGCGGCTCTGGGGGAAGGACGATCCGTCCTGGCTGGGCCTCCCTTCATCACCAGGCAGCAGTGGGGGACAACAGGTATGCTCTACTGCTGGAGCGAGGCGTGAGTCGAAAGGGAGATGGGAAGAGACCTCCTGTTGGGGAAGGTCAACATTTGGGCTTGAGGCCATAGAAAGGCTAGAGCCTAAGGCCTCTAGTTGTACAGTCAGTGGCAAACAGGCAGCCTGGAGTCTAGGAGCGGCCTGCCCAGGACTCCAAGGCTGGCAGAGCTCCGCACCTGCCTTCCATCCCACCTGCCCAGGGGCCGGGCTCCATCGTCCCCAGTAACTCCCTCCCGTGGTCTCTCCACTCTGGGCAGTCCCATCCATCATGAAGGTCCAGGGTCTTCTAGGGATTGACCAGCTGACCAGGGTCACCCCCTGCAAATACTGGGGACTCACAGGTGTGGGTTAGTCATCATGAACTTTGGAAACCCGGCCATCATCCCCACCTCATGGCTGACAGCAAAGAGCTGATTTAAGGAGCAGAGGCCCATTCAAAGTCCAGTAAACAGTGGTGGGGGGTGGGGTGGGGTGAGAGAGCCCCTCTCAGGAACCAAGCCTGGGCCTGGGAGGGGTGAGGGTGGGGCATGCAGTTCCTGGCTCAGTCTTTTCTTAGGGGGAATGGTACCCCAGTATCCACTTGGCAGATCTGTTAGGTGACTGCTCAAGATCCAAAAGAAGGATGGGAAGAAAGAAGAGGGAGGTGGGGAAGGTTCAGTATACTGGCCTATGGCATAAAAATGTGAGTTAGGGGTTTGGGAACAGTTGCACAGGGAGATGGGATGCACTGACGCGGCAGGTCAAGTAAGTCCTTGTGGCTGCCATTCCCATCAGGCCCTTTGTCCTGTGGAGAGTGATCACCTCTCCCATCCCCAGCCAACTGTCCTGTCCAGGGGAGCAGGAGACATCCCCCAAGTTCCATAGCTGCAAGTTTTCCGCTAGATGGAGTAGATTTGCTTCTTTGCTGTCCCTCTTCGTTGCCCCAAGTCCGGTGTTGAAGTGTCTCCACGGTGTCATACCATCAGGAAAGAGTGGAGAGAGCTGTGCTCACCGTGAGAAAGGGTCTCCTTGCCAGTGTCCAAGCCCCCTTTCCTGACAGGCTATCTCAAGCCTCAGAGGACAGCCCCAAGACCACCCACTGTTGAGGAAGTCAGTGGAGAATGGGAGCTTCCTTGGTTCAGAATGTGGTGGCCAGATGACAGCACCACCAGGCATCCATTCCATTCTCCAACCCAGGGAGGAAGCCTGAGCTGGCCAGAGCCAATGAAGAGCTTAAAAGGCTCTCCAGCTTCAGTCCCTCACTGCAGGGTGAAGATGGGCATCTGAGCACAAAGTCTTGTCCCTTCAAGACATGGCCAGTCTCTACTGACCCTTGCTCTGGTCCAGCTGCTAAGTCTAGAACCCACCTAAGGTTACCCTCCTTTCCTGGCTCTAAGGCCTGGAGTTAGCCCCTTTCTCTTTTACAACCTGTCCGCCCATCTTCCTCTCTCCGTCCTCTTGAATCCCAGAGGACTTATCGGGTAGAGAGCCAGGGGGTTTCCATGGCTTTGGCCCCTTTCTGTTGCTTTGCTTCAAAGCTCGAAGGGGTCCTCCAGCCCTCTGTCCCTTCACTCCACCTGTCTGGCCTGAACAACCACTTCACCTGCTTTCTGTATCAAAACTTGTTCACCCCCACTCCCCTCTTTGCCACCTCTCATTTCCGTCTCTCTCCTGCTCTGCCAGCGTGAAGAGCGAGAGAGGCTTTCAAAATGCAGGCTCTGCCCAGATGAAATGGAAAGGCTGGGTGGGTCCAGCGGGTCAAACGTGGACCTGTTGCGCTCGCTCAGTGTGGGATCTGGACACGGTTCCTTCCAGAGAGACTGAGGGGTGTGCTGGGGAGCATGGTGGGTGCACATGGAGTGCTCTCGTCCACCTGGCTGTGTGGTTTGTGTGAACACATGTGCATGTGGGAAATCATGAAAAAAAATCCAACACTGTGTCCCACAAAGGGTTGAGTTTGCTGCTCATAAGAGGCAGGCAAAGCTGGTGCTATGGGTCGTGTTAGAAGGATATGAGCTGTCTTGGTTTTCCCAGAATGAAGAAGCTCCTCGATGCCCCCATAGGAACTACTTTGAAAAGTTAATGCAAACCTTTGAAAGAAAGGAAGGAAGAAAAAAAAAAAGGAAGTACATTTATATGCCTATATATGACTACATGGAGCCCTGTAGGTAACACAAGCCCACTTTTCCAGCCTATCCCCCCCATGAGGCTGTGCTAGCTGTGAATTGAATGCACTGAGGGGCTGAAACCACATGCTTCAGCGCCGAGGTCTGGTCACCCCGGAGGAATAAGTCCTTCCACTGTTGGGGTGTGTATTGATTTCTAAAAGTTTGCACAGGGAAATATGCACACGTACTTAATACTTACGTATCTGCTTAAGAAAATCTATCTATCTAATATCACTGGGTTGTTAATTTGTTTTGTTTTGAGGGGAATGGAATGCATTTTAGTTTTTATAAATTTGGAGGGAGAGAACACTCTCCTGGGGTGAGCAGAGGAAGGAGGGTTCGAGCCGCCTACTTGCTGGCCAGAGGAGGAGATAGACCCGGGAGAGGTGCTGACACCTTTCGTCTTTTCCTTGCTCTCCCTGTGACCAATGCAAACTGGGAAAGCCCCCAGTGTGTCATCAAACACCACATCTTGGGCCAAAACTCTAGTGCCAGAACATCTCCCCAGCTCGGGCCAGGGCTGCATATGAAAGGTGGGCCCAGCCATGGGGCCTGGGACCTTTCCTTCCTGCCCCGTTTCCCTTCCCTTTCCTACCTGTTCATCTTTCCCTCTCATGTCCACATATGCCTTCTCCCCTTCTCTGCCTCTCAGTCTTCCTCTCTTCCCTTCCCTGTTCATTCAACTTGCCTCAAAAAAGAAAACTACTTAAAAGGGGGGGGGGGTGTCTCTTTAGCTTTTCTCATCTCCATTGTTGCCGTTTTCAAAGTTGAGACCTTGCTAGAGATTCCGAGGTCCTCATTTCCTCAATTAGATAGATATATGCATTTTTTTTTCCCTTAAATGAGATGAAATGAGTGGCGTCCTGGGGTGGAGGGAGGCACTGGCTGGAGTTGGGGCTGGGGGTAGGGTNCTGAAAGTCCCCGTCGACATACTCCATGCTGGGCAGCTTCATCCCGTACTTGTCCACGCACCAGCAGATGCCGCGTTTGCGGCCACGGGAAGGCTTGCACTGGGGGTGTGGAGAGAGACAGGCAGTGAGGGTGGCTGTGCCCCGAGGAAGCTCCACTCTGGCCGGGCCCTTCATCTTCCTACCCCAGGACAGGCTCTCGCCCTCAGAGAGTTGAGGGGTCTGTGCCCAACCCTTGGGGTTCTAGTGTCTCCACTGCATGGAGAGGGCCTGGCCTTGGCTACCTCCTCTGCCCTCTTTTTATGTCACCCATTCAGGATCTTTCAACTTGGTGTTCTCCAGAGAGCTGTGTGATCTGATAGTGATGATGATGATGATGACAGCAGGCATCACGTCTGCAGCTCTATGCCATGTACCAGCACTGCTGTGTAAGACTTACNGGTGTCCCCACTGCATGGAGAGGGCCTGGCCTTGGCTACCTCCTCTGCCCTCTTTTTATGTCACCCATTCAGGATCTTTCAACTTGGTGTTCTCCAGAGAGCTGTGTGATCTGATAGTGATGATGATGATGATGACAGCAGGCATCACGTCTGCAGCTCTATGCCATGTACCAGCACTGCTGTGTAAGACTTACTCCACGCTAGGTACTATTCTAAGTGCTTCACAGAGATCGACCCGTCATTTCTCATAATCGTGTGAAAATAATAGGTACAGCTGTTCTCCATTTTGCATCAGGAACTGGAGGCAGAGATGTTAAATAACTGGAGTAAGAGCACACAGCTAGTGATGGGAGAGCCGAGAACTGGCCCAAGGCCGCCTGGCCCCTGGCCCCTAACTCAGACGAGGGTATATGGAACATCAGGGTCGCATGGGAGGGAACTTGTCAGAAAAGCAAAATTCTCAGAGTCCACCCAGACCCACTGATCAGACACTCTGAGCAGAGGGTGGGGACAGTAATTAGTGTTTTAACAGGCCTGCTGGGTGATTCTGATGCCCAAGGAAGGCTGAGAACCGTTGCCGTAGGGAATGTAGACCCAGTTTAATAAGCTATGTACCACTGGGTTAACCAGGGTAGCCTGGCTGTGAATGGGACACGAAGCGATTTCAGGTGGTACGTGGTGAAAAGGTGTTTTAAAGTCATATATATATGTACATGTGTGTATATATATATTTACATATATGTATGTACTTATGTGTGTGCAGCAGAAAATAACACATACAACATGTGATGGGATGCGGTGATGTGAAGTTTCCTTTAAAAATTCATGTAGCCCTCGCTGGGTAGCTCAGTCGGTGAGAGCATCATGCCAGGGTTCGATGCCCAGTCAGGGCACATAGAAGAATCAGCCAATGAATGCATAAATAAGTGGAGTAACATATCATTGTTTCTCTCTCTCTCTTCCCCTAATAAAAATCATGTAAATAAGGCGAATCATTAAAATATAAGTAGACTGTAGTGTAGGAGGGAATGGGAAAAATCATGATTATGTTATGGGTATTGGGGTTTGAAAAACACTACTGTTAATGACAGAGATTTCAGGCATTTAGAGGTAGAGGTTTCCTGGCAAGTGCCCTTTCAAGAGCTCTTTGAACTTGGGACATGGGATGGGGACATACCTGCTTTCTCTTGTAGAATCCTTTGCGGTCACAGTTGGGCAGGTACACAGCACGGGGCACCATCCGAGGGCTGGCTTTGAGCTCCTGCAGGGCAGCCTCCATGTGTCTGCGGCAGGGGCCCTGTGTGTGGACAGGAGGGATGAGAGGCGTGGCAGGACCCAGGTGGAAACCACCTACATGTGCAGAACGCATGGCCCAGAGCTTGGGGGTCAAAGGGTCTGCAGGGAAAGCCACCACCTTTTGTTCCAATTAGTTGCTACCAAAGATCTTTCCTCCCTCTCACTTGTTAGGCACCGTGGGTGGGTAAAGTGTGCAAAACCTGCATTTTGACCAGGTACAGAGGCACATTGTCCCATCTATCTTCCATACTTCCCACCCTCGCTTTTCCATGACTCTGAGTAGTTACGCCTGGAGGTGGTCATCTGAGGATGCTCTAGGAGAGTGTTCAGCATCTGCCTAGGTAAGGACACAGTTCCAGGTCTGTCACACACCCAGTGTTTGCTCTGTACTCGCTGTGGTGGGTCCTTCTCTCGGGCTAGCCTAAGCACCTCCTGCTGCCACAAATGCTCACTTAGGCGTCAATCGGGGTGGTGGCAGAGGCTGGGGGTGTGGATGCAGAGGGAATAACAGGGAATCCTTGAGACTCACCTGCTCAGATTCCTGTCTTATCTCAGGGGCAGAGTTGACCCGGGGGTGGGCAGTGTTCTCAGCTCCCCCCACAAACTTGGACTGGGTCAGCTTCTTTCTGCGGTCCTTCTTCACAGCCTCGGCCTTCAGCTCGGAGATGCGGGTGTGCTTGGGCCGGAAGATTTTGGGGGAGTAGGTCTCCTCGGCCACCTCGGAGGTGGTTGGGTCCTCATGCTCCTGGGATTCTCGATCTGCAGGGAGAAGGAAGCAGAGGGTCAGCCTCTGGGGCGGAGACACAGATGAGCAGAGCCTGAGGCTCTGAAGTTGGGGTGAAGAGACTGGGTCTCTGCCTTCCTGGAGCTTAAATAAAAACCAGGGCATCACAGTCAACACTCATGTAAGTGGTGGGAAGTTGCTGGCATGATTGGTGTCCCACAGAGTGAATCTAGGAAGACTTTATGGAGTTGGGGGAGTTGTTGAAAAAGTCAAGCTGATGAGTGAGGAAAGTTTGAGGGAGAGGACTTTGTGGGGGAAGGAAAGGGGAAGAAGGAGAGAAGTGGCCTTTGGGAGGCTTGCTTATGGGGCTGGCTAAGCAGATAGCACGGTGGCTGGGGGTGAAGCTTTGATGTCAGAATACAACCTGGAGATCTTGGCTGTCAGAGGAAAATTGGGGATAGCCAGGGCATGGACAAGAAAGGCCAAGTATAACCTCTTGTGAGGTCTTTGTGCTTTTAGAACTGCTGGACTTGATATATATTTGGATTTGAGGAAATTGGGGGTGGGAGGGTCCTGGGGGTCTGGATTAGCAGAGTGGGAGAACCATCATAAAACACAGGAGGAGGGGACCTGGGAAGCCAGAGGTATAGGCCTGGAGGGGAACAGTGCCAGCAGGTGGGGGGGATGTGAACTCCGAGGCCTTGCTCCCTCCTCTGGCTCAGAGCTGACTCTGCTCTCTAGGCCCTGGATGGGCTGGAACATAACCCAGCTAAAGGCCAAGAGAGGCCGACAGCTGGCTGGGACTGGTGCGGTTATATATAGGGGTGGCTTGGTGACAGTCTATACTTAGCTGACTTATGACCTTTAAAGAAAGAGGACTTTGTTCATTTATTTATTGATCCACCTGCCCAGCCTTTCCTGGGTCCACAGATTTCCATTTAATTCTTACCTCACAGGTACCCTCCTCTCAGTCCCTGTTTCTCCTCTCAGTTCCTTGACCCCACCTGCCTATGCAGACCCAGGGTGTGTGTGTGGCCAGGATGCTCGAGGTGAGACCTGGTACAGGGCAGGGTGGGCGGGGGCAGGGAGGCCCTGCCTTTATCTCCTACTTTTCAGATTCAGAAAAAGCAAATAGGGCTTCGAGGTGACCCCAGATAACTCAAATGGGGCACAGGAAAACCCTATTCTCCACCCCCTTCGCAGGCACTGTGAGGGAAAGAGGAGAGGGGTCCCAGCAGGGGTGGGTGAGGGGAGGTGTGGGAGAGGGAAGCTGGGTGAGAAGACGCTGTTTTGTGTTCCCAGGGCAGGAGCTCTACCCAGGGGAGGTTACGGGTGTGTGTTAAGAAAGGCATTTGGAGACCCGGCCAGACTTGGTCAGGATGGCTGGTGGCAGGAAGCATCCAACACCTGTTTGCTGGCTGGGGATGTGTCACATTTAACTGAACAGGTATCCAGTCTTTAAGGCGCTGGCAGGGAAGTCCCTGCTCTGAAGAAGCCTCCACAGGTTTGCAGGGTTCTGGGCAGTCAGTTGACTTGGGTTGTTTATCACAGGAGAGGAAGATGGCGGGGAGGAAGCAGATAGCAAAGCCAGGCGCAGGCTCTCCCTGAACTAAATTCAACACCAGGATCCCTGTCCCCTACTTTTGTCTTTCATTCCATCTTCCCACCACGTCCTGGCTCAGTGCGCTGACTCTACTGCGTCCAAGCCTGCTGTGATGATTCATCAGCCTGTGATGCGCCGGTCAGTGGAATGCAGCCTTCCAGGAATTAGCTGATAGAGGGATGCTTTGGGGTAAACCTATTCTTCTTGGTTGTGGGACAAGCTAGAGTGGGGGTGGGATGCAGGGAGGAGCATAGCTGGTTTGGGAGACTATATAAATTAAAAGGCTAGGGTTCTGTTATCTAGTAACTCAGGTCCAAACCTGAGGCTCAGGTCTTGGGAAGAGGAGGGGAAGAGGGGAGGAGTGAACTGTGGTGTGGACGGGTTGCTGAGCCCATCTCACTGAGGGACTTGAGACACTTCACTCAACCTCTCTGGGCAAAACCAAGCATTCTAATCCTCAAACTTAACCCTATTACTTAGGCAGCAGGAGAGCCGAGTACCAAAGATACTCTTCAGAGTCTTGTGGTCAGTCACCTGTAGGCAGAGGGACAGTGGAAAGTTGGAGGGGAGCCAGGGCAGAGCCTTGGAGATGAAAGGGCTGGAAAGTGGACCCAGAGCTGGAATGCCAGAGCCAGCAGGCCCTACTCAGCTGCTCTGGCAGAGTCATAAATAGGCTTTCAGTTTGGGACGGGTTTAAGTGTGAGATAAAACAAGAAGGCACGAGTAGACTGGCAGCTCCTGAGCTATTTCATCAAGAGAAAGTGGACCGAGGTTGTGGAAGGGATTTAAGTGAGATGTAAGGGAGGACTTCCTGGTGAGGTTGCCCTACAAGAATAGCAACTGAAGGAGCAAAGGAGTGCAGTGGGTTCTGGAACCTGTTGGACAAACAGGTCAATACCTCCACACAACCAGTAGATGGCAGAGGAGACTGATGACCACACAACATGCCCCGGGTTTATTGCTAGAGATTGTAAGTAATCTTAAAATCAGGAATTTGTGTGCCTGTTTCTGTGACAACCACCCCAAACCTCTCCTTCTCTCTGCGTGTCTGCAGCATGTATTTAAAGAGTCAGGGAGATGGATAAGTGAGGACTGGAAAGGACCCACATGAGGGGAGGGTGGAGAAGGCAGGTGTGGGAACTGGAGGCCAGCTGTTTCTTTCACCAGCAATTAAAAAATGACCAGGGTAAGAAGCGAAACATATCTGGAACCTCCCTTCCCATCTCCAGATGTCATTTTGAAAGGATTCTGCAGAGGATGGGAAAGGTGGAATGCTCAGTGCTGTTCCCTTCGCCTTTAGCTCCATGATCTAGTTGCCGATGACTGAGGAAGCGAGAGCTGTCACATTGCCCTGATATTTACCTTCAGGGTGGGCTGTGATTCTGTTCTGACTTCTACCCCCAGTCCTCTCAACCAGCTCACTGATGGCCCAACCCCTGCCATTTTATGCTGGCCATCTCATTTCCTCCTTCATTCATAGGTGCCACCCATCCAGGCTGGTACAGTAACATTCACTGAGGCACAGACAAGGACATGGGCCCTCCCTGGGCCCACACCTGCCTGAGGACTATGCTATTCTCATGTCCCAGCAAACACAGAGGGTGCCTGGGTGCAGGCCTGGCCACTATGGACCCAGAGGCATGCTGGGGTGGGCAGATCTACTCACAGCTCAGGTGCACAGAGCATACTCCCCACCAGGCTCCACAACTGTCTCCAACATGCCCTCTTGCTGCCGCTGTTTTCTTGTAGCGACGGGATGCTTTAGCAACACTAACAGGAGCGTGCTCTTAAGAAACATTCTGATTCCACCCTGCTCCCTAGTTGCAAAGATGGATGGGTCCAACCTGGGACCTGCTGCTCCCCACAATCTGACCTTCCACCCTGCAGCTCTCGGTCTGCCCTGACACCATTAACGGCCCGCTCCCGGGCTGGTGGTAGTTCCCATTCTATCATAACCTCATGATCCAACTTCAGAGAAAACTGGGTGGCCCAGATCTTGTGACTTCGCTTACGGGAACGGAAGAAACTGAGGCGTACTTGGAATTCACAGCTCAGGAGGAATGTGGGGCTTTGCCAGGCCACCTGGACCTGGAGAGAGGAAAGTCTCTTTTTCTAGCCAGAAGACAAGATGGGTTCGCCCAGAATCTCTCTACAAGGAATGAAAAAGGGAGCTGGGTTTCCACTGGCTCTCGTTCCAGCTCCCTCTGTGGAATTTAAACAATAATCTGCTTAAGGGCAGAGGCTTGTCATTTATCTTTGTCTCTCCAGTGTATGGCACTTCATAAATAATCTTTAAATGGAGAGATGCATCAATCTACACAAGACACACTGTGAAGTGGGTCTAGAGACTTTTCTGTCTATAAGCTGGGGTGCGTTGGAACTCAGTGGATGCCCCGAGAGGAGATCTCACAGGTGCCACTGTCTTTAAGCACCAGAAGTGCCACAGAGGGAGTGAGGGGCAGAGGAATGAGCCTCACAGGACAGGGACAGAAGTAGGGGTCCCTGGGTTTGTGGGCTTCTTTTTGGTCTCAGGCTTCACTGTCCAATACAGTAGCCACTAGTCACATGTGGCTATTTAAATTAATAAATATGAAATCAAATTACACATTCAACTCCTTAGTCACTATCGCCACATTTCAGGTACTCAATAGCCACCTCTATCACTGCAGAAAATTCTACTGGCCAGCTGGTCAGAAGGCACAGATCTGTGCCTGGGTATGGCTAGATGTTCCAAATCCCCTCCCCACCTTGCCCTGTTTCCTGGCCAGCCTGCAGCCTCCTGCTCTTTGCTACAATATGAGGCTTATAGCAGAATGATGGATCTGCTGCTCACTGTTTAAAAAACCATAAGGCATGTCTCAGTCTCCTTAAGTCTGACTGTTTCCCAGCTGCAGATGCCAAATGACTCAATTACACTGCATGCACATGCGATTGCATAGAGAGAAAGGGGACAGGGTGCTAGGGAGGGGCTGCAGAGCCTTCCAGGGGAGCTATAGCATCCCTCCTCCTGCCCATTCCACCCCTAGCCAGTGTCTGCCTTGCCCCAGTCTCTCTGGAAAGACACTGTTTTCTTTTCTTCTGTGGTCAGTCACAGATGTGCATGTTCTGGGCTCCTTTTAACCTGAATTATGGGCTGAGAAGGGAAAAAGCACCGACTTTCCAAGAGGAAAACAAACCCAAACAACTGTCATCCTCAGTTGCCAGATGGAAGGAGTTGCAAGAAGACACAGAAGGAGAGTCCTGTTGACTTGGGATGACTTGCAGAGGTGGGAGCAGGTTCAGAAATGTTGACTGCACAGTGAGGGCAATAGGCTTCCCTGGCTGAGCTCCTCCCAGCCCCCACCCCATTTCAGGCCAGGAGAACTAACATGGTTAGGCGCCCCAAGCCAACAGCAAAGTTGACCAATACGAGTGTGTCACGTTTCTATCCTG